AGAGCGCAGGCTCAGTAGTTGTGGTGCACAGGCTTAGTTGCTCTGCAGCATGTGGGATCTTCCCAGACCAGGGATCGAACCTGTGTCTCCTGCATTGGCAGGCAGATTCTTAAGCACTGTGACACCAGGGAAGTCCCTGAAAGCAAGTATATATTTCTGATAACTCTTACGCACACAAAACAAACACACTGTAATTAGTTGGCACTATCTTTACGCTAAAGTGAATATAAATATGAAGTTTTTGTGTTTTTAAATGTATTTTTATGTTTTTCAAATGTGTTTTATCTTACTTCATACTTTGTTCATTTATCATGGAACTGCTTAACTTTCCTTGAATTATTTGCAGTAATTCATCCATCTGCTTCCACTTTATTTTTTGGGCTTTTTAAAAAGTGTAGTTGTCTAGGGCTTCCCTGGTGGCGCAGTGGTTGAGAGTCCGCCTGCCGATGCAGGGGACACGGGTTCGTGCCCCGGTCCGGGAAGATCCCACATGCCGCAGAGCAGCTGGGCCCGTGAGCCATGGCCACTGAGCCTGCGCGTCCGGAGCCTGTGCTCCGCAACGGGAGAGGCCACAGGAAAGAGACAGTGTGGGGAGGATGACTGTTGAAGAGATTAACATAGACTAATAAACTTTACGGGAATAAATTATTTCCCCTTCATGCACTGCTTAGATTCAGAAGCATCTGGCATGTTTGAGAAACTTCTTTTACTTAGACAAGAACACTTGAAGTTAACACGACTGGTAGTTTGATATATTATCTGAAATGGTAGAACTTGGTTTTTTACGTAAGTATTTTAAGTCTTTATGTTATATAAGAAATATGTAACTGCTATTGTTTATTACAGATACTGCGCCTGACACTCTAAAAGTAATGGGGTGAGATTACCTTCAGATCTGTGTAGAAAGCAGTAAAATATTGAATTGACCTAATCTTTCTATTAATCGTCCAGGGAATAATAAATAATCTCAGTACTTAGTTATTCATGGTTAGCAAGAGAGTCTCTGTAATCTTTTCTGATCCTCACAAGAACTGTATAATATCAATATTATTTTCCTCATTTTACAGATATAGTCAAGGAGATTAGTATTTACCACATCAGGGAACTAACTAGACCTCAAGCGCAAGTTTGCTGGCTCCAGATCTAGAGCTTTTTCTGTTACATGTTGCTAACTCATTAAAGTCTTTAATATTCCTTTCAGAATTGCCCTAAGTAGAACATTCTGTTATCAAATTTTAGGTATACTGATGTGCTCTGTAATATGCACGTTTTATTTTGCTTTTCTTTAGTTCCCCAATCAGGGATTGAACCAGGACCCACAGCAGTGAAAGTGCCGAGTCCTAACCACTGGACCTCCAGGGAATTCCCTGGAGAAGGCTTATTTTTAATTTTCTTTCTCTGCATTCCACTTTGATTCTAATGATTTCACTTTCTTCTCTTTTATGTCAAATATATACCTTGTAAACCATCACAGGAATATTGCTGCAGCTCATACTGGGATTGTTTAACTTCTTGTGTTCAAGAGTCTGGCTATCTATCCTTATTTACAAACAGCAGTTATAATGTATGCCTTGTGTTCGTGATGATTCAGAAAGAATGAAGTGTCGTTGAGTATCTTACCTTTTTTTGAAAAAATAGAAACTAAAAAGCAATCTAAATCTTTGCATATTTTAGACCCTGAATCTTCTGCTATTTAATTCTTCAAAGTGTTGTCAGTACAATTGGAATATTTTGGTTTAAGGTATTATTTCTTCCCACATCATCTAGAAAGTATTCGTCTTTTATTCTGTACTTAACTGTTTTTTGGCTTTTTTCTTGTGTTTTATAGTCTTCAAGGATCTTGTGTTAAGATCTGTTCTCTGCTTATAAAAGTTAAGGATGCTGTGTGGTTTACATATTTAGAAGAGATAATTAAAAAGCTTACATCTTAAACCATAAATGTTATCATAGACTCTAATAAATTTGGTGTAGATTCTTTTGGTGCTAAATGGTCAGTGTTTGAATATTTGCTGAAAGGATGAGGTGAATGAATGTCAGTCTCTGTATATTATTATGTTTTTGTAATATATTTTCACTTGAAGCAGTAAATGCTAATTTTGCCCATGCCATTGTGGCCAGGAAGTTGTGCTGAAAGTTGATGTAGTGTTCTAGTGTGTGTTCCTCAGACTCATGCTAAGGAAGTATATCTTGCCCTTATCAGTTTCATCAGTTGGGAAAGATTTGGCCCTTTGTTACTGTCTGCACAGGAGTTACTGAAAAGCTAGATTTGTTTTGAGTCGTACCTTCCATGCCTGCTCTGTTCTGGATCACACTATAGAAAGAGGAAAAGATCTTTATGTTTGAGGTCACACAGTTTGGCACCTGTTACTCTACAGTCCTTCAATTACCATTCAGAACATTGGTCAGAATGGATTTTGTCATGCATCAATAAAATCTTTCAGGCAGACCTGTGTCTTCCATCCAATTTATAAGTTTGATGTCCTTCTTACGATCTTAAATTGGACATAGTCAAAAAGCTTTGTGTAACACAGCGGTGTTCATCATCATCATCATATTTAAAACCTTGTTTGAGAGATACACACCCCACTTTAAAAATAAATACCGAATCTTTTTTTTTTTTCTTTTTCTAACTTCCTGAAAGAAAACAAAAAGACTTCTGAAGAAATCTGACTGTCTGGGCCCACCTGTAAGTGGTCTTGGTGAGTCTGGGCAATCATCCTGGGCCTTCCCTTTGCTGTTGTGAGATTGGAAATTCTACTTTTTGTGGCTGTTTGAATGTGCCTGAGAAGGTTCAGAGTCAAGGGGAAGATCCTTCCAACAGATGCAGAGGAAAACACAGGAGGCTAATCAAAACTGCAACCCTGTAGAGGCTATCAAGGGGCAGAGTATAGGATAGAACACAGACCACTACCCTGATTAAGGTACTTCCTGGCTTTTCAAGAGTTACCATGATCTCAGATCGTGCTGGTCTCTTCAGAGTTTCCTGCAGTTGTTAAAGAGAGGTCTGTCCACCTTTGCTATGCAGCATGAGTTGGGGCTGATGATATATTACAGAGTACATAGAAACACAAGTGCTGAGTTATGGCAGCATGGCAATAAATAAATAGTTATATGAGCAGAAATCTTGTATATATGTGGTAGAAAACAGATTACCTGGCAGTACAGAAAGAAGAGCACAATAGATAGAGGAAGCAGCTGGTGAATCTTGTACTCAGGAGACAGTAGAAAAGATCAGACACTCATTTGTATGGTGACAGGATCCCATTTCAGTGTCTTTATCCTGGAATTAAGAGCCATGGTGATAGCACTTTTAATGGAGAATAGTGGGCTGTTAAACTTCGAATCTGTTTAAAGGGGAGACCCAGTATTTTTGAAATGAAAAGAGGTTCATTTGAGGTATAGTTCTCTTCTTTATTTCAAACCTTATTTTGATGATGGCCTTGAAATTTTCTTCAATATAAAGATTTCACGTGAGATTCATTGGTATAAAATTTATACCTCTCAAAAAACTAGTAAAGCAGCATTTTCTTACCATATGTTTTTACAAGTAAAATGTTCTAGAAGTTTGTTTTTTCACCTTAACAACATACTAGTAAAGTCAGTACACAGTAGTATTACACCACATCCTACCTCCCCTCCCAACAAAGGTCAGTGAACAGGGTTGGGAATTTCTTTTACATAGTGATTGATAAGCAAACTGCATAATCTAAATAATCTAAAATAAACTAACCAGAAGTGGCCCAAGAGTTAAAAAGTGTTGTTCTTTTATCTTAAGGATGTCTATATGCTTATAAATGATACCTTGAAATAGATTTTAAGTGGTTAGGCAGGAAGTAGGGTTTTTTGGAGAACGGGGTGACAACAATTGTTGTCAGACTTGGGAGTTTTAAAATTTAATACATTGATTTTGTTCAACATTTAAAAAGCATAAAAGGATAGTCAGTGAAAAGTCTTTTTCCCATTTCTGCCCATCAGTTCCCATTCTCAAATTTTCTATACCATTCTACGTGTATGTGAATGTTGATAATATAAGATAAATTCCTAGGAATAGAATTAACAGATTATAGGGGTTATGCATTTGTAATGTTGGTAGGCATTGCCACTAGAATATAGGAAAGTTAATTTCCCTGTGCCCTTTGCAGAGCCACATAATATCAAACTCTTTAATCTTTGCCAGCCTAATTACAGGGTTGGTGGTTGTTGTTGTTGTTTTTAAAGCTGGTTTAAATAAGCATTTCTCTAAGG